GGGGGGGGGGGGGGGGGGGGGGGGGGGGGGTCCCAATCCCATTTCCCACCTGAAATTTTGGCAAAATCCCAGTCCAGGTTGGATTTTTATTAGAAATCCCAGTCCCAGTTATTGAAATCCCAGTCAATAAAAAACCCTTTATTTATCGGTAGAATAAACAGTTTTAAGACCTTTTAAGCAAGTGCCGGACACTTTATGAAATATTAGGTGGGGCTCGTGGGCACGGAAAATTTTTTAATTTGAATCCCGGAAATGGCATTTGCAGCATTCTGAGACACGCATAATCAGAAAACCCAGAATTCCGGGAGCCAGAGTATGCCTGTTCTCAGGTAGTGCTGTGACTAAAATAGTTAACAACAAAAATCATGACCAAAGACACCAAAAACGGATCAAAATTGTATTTTAAAATACTCAAAACGCAGAAAAATTGGGAATCGACTCGCATTACCTCAATCCCATTCCCATTTTTGAGGACTTCATTTCCCATTCCCAGTGGCCAAATCCCAGTCCCAGCAACCCAAATCCCATTTTCCAAGTCTAAAAATAGATCAATCCCAGTTCCCATTTTACCCCTTCAGGGCCCTCATTAAACTGGAACTAAAAAAAACAAAAAGCCAGTGGCTGAAACAACAACTAAATGTAGGTACACAATTTATAAATAATCATGTACAAATGTTTGCTGTAGAAATATTGATGTAAATATACTTGGCTAATTCTAAATTGGCAAAGGACAGAGATGCGTAATAACTTTAATAACTATATATTTGTCAAACCACAGAGCCTGGGCTCGCATCCAGCCTTTGCCCGCGCCAGCCCTTGCCCACGCCAGCCGTAACCCTATTTTAAGGTTGGCTTATGGGCAAAGGTTTGATGCGGGCTACACACATAGCCTGGGCTCCTGTGGTTTGACAAACACATAGTTATTACGCATGTCTGTCCTTTGCGGCCAGTTTAGAATTAGCCAAGTAAATAGGTAAAAACTTTAAAGTTTCACGAATCTTACCTGTCAGTAGAAGTATTCCTCCTCTATAGTGAATTCTTGTATCCACAAGCGGAAAAAAGGAGCGATTTTCAGGAGCGATTGTAATTTAAATAACAAATATTTAATAATCGGAATTTATTTTCTAAGAAGCAATACTGAAAGTTTGGTCATGCGATAATAACACAATAAAACCTCTTTACAGGGTGTCGTTCGCGTCATTGCCGAAGCTCAGACTATATAACCTCGACGTGTAAAATGGTTTCTTTCTGAAATTTATCTCCTTTCAAATGGCTCGTTCTTTAGTAACTGACCCGATCAATCAAATTGAAGAGAATCTACAATGTAATATGTGTCTGGAAGTACTAACAGATCCCAGAACCCTTCCTTGCTTTCATTCGTTCTGTAAAGTTTGTTTGAAACGCATTGTAAAAACTTTGCGTGACAAAGCACCTCGCGGTCGACCTATTCGAGAGTTTCCATGTCCAAATTGTCGTACGACGTTTACACTCGATCCCGACAAACATGTCGCCGACATGCCCCGGAACCATTTCATCTGTAACATGGTAAAAGTGGCGGCCGTACTCGATCGTGGAATCGTTCCTTGTTCACATAATTGTAGTCAAAGCTACTCGGTCGCTCGTTGTGTCACCTGTGAAAAATTCCTATGCCGAGAATGTCTCACGGACCATAATAAATATCGAGGTCACAATGATCATTCTGTTCTAACGATGGAAGAGTTATCAAAGCCAGAAAATCGCAAGAAAATCAACGACAAAATGTATTGCAATGAACATTCGGGCAAGAAATTAAAAGTTTATTGCAAAACGTGCGACCAACTGATTTGTAAGGATTGTATGGATTTTAAACACGTCAAGCAAAGTCATTCGTGTGTTCTCGTCAAGGATGTTGCGAGCAACTATAAGGAACTTCTTGCTTCAAATAACAAAGCAATGGAAAACGCTTTAACTGAAGGCAATGCATTTCTTGGACGAATAACTCTTAAGACAGAACGACTTGATCGCGATGCTGAAAATATCAAAACTGAAATTGCACAAAGAAAAGAATTTGTGAAAAAGAAAGTCGTTCACTCTGTCGTTGACATGTTGGATCAAAAAGCTGAAACTCTTCTTAAGAAAGTAGATGAAATCCACAAAGGGAAACGAGCGAATTTGGACAGACAGGCAGAAGAAACAAAGTTATATGTAGAGAACATAAAAACGTCTTTTCAACTTTCGAAAAAGTTGGTCGACCAAGGCTCAGAAGAAGAAATAATTTCCTCTCAGAAAATGATGCTGAATAACGCAAATAATCTCCTAATAAAACGCGAAGAGTATTTCAAAGCACCTATTCCCGTTGCAAAATTGAGCTACATTTCCTCTACTGGCAAGCAACCAATAAACGAAAACGTTTTGAAAGAGCTGGCAAATAGTTTAGGAGAAGTTAATGACGACGAGCATGCAGGTGTGTTTCATGCGGATGGGTTTCGTGCGTGTGGGTGTCATGCGTGTGGGTTTCAGGCGGGTGGGTTTATATGAGAAAATTTTATCCCGCTTGCCGGGACAATTTTGTTACATTGATGTTGTTTTGACAGTTGTTAAAAATAGCTTGTGGCGGTATCTTTGAACTTTCATCCCGGCAACTGGGTGACCGGGCTAGCCCGCTTGTGAGTGTTTATATGGAGAAATTTCCATCCCGGTAAGCGAGATCTCGCCTCTTTCAAGCGAGATCTCGGCAACCGGGCCAGCCCGCTTGTCCATATAAACGCACGATAATTTTTACTATAAAAATAACTACACAGCGAGATCTCGCTTACCGGGCTATCTCGCTAAGCGGGCCAGCCCGGCTTCCATATAAACAGGCCCTTAGAATCGGATATAAATGAAATGTTTCCGCACAATAATGATACAAGAACTGGGGCCGGTAGTTCAAATCCCGATTAGTGCTAACCCTGGGTTAAATTTAACCTGCTGTTTTTGTTTATGTATTTCTGCGTGATCATTCGTTTCAAAACTGTGGAAAAGAAAACCTCTATTGAACCAGAAAGGATTTCTGGAAAAACATATTCAACTTAATTGTGAGCTGTTAGAAATTTTAATTTGTAGATTTGTGTTACCGGCCAGGGTTAAGCTAACCGGCTTTCGAATAACCGGCCCCTGAAGAAAAAGATAACTGGGGTAAACCTTGCGGAGAACGGTTTGGAAAGGACGTTGATCTAAATATCTTTTCAAAAAAAACAGGCATGGTCATGGGTACAAGAAGCTTCGACGAAAAGAAAACGGTCAAGGTTTCCGGGGTTTCGCAACTTTTGCGAGACCAAATTGAGAAGGAATTTCAAGCGAAGGGGAACTCGACTGGGTATAGTGACGATGTCAACAAACTGTATGTCTGCCCGAATGGAAAAGATTATGTTCTTGTTGAATTGGAGAAAGACATACCAGGTAAGTGTTCAAATAGTTGCATCTTATTTCATACATTGCTTTGCAGAATAGAATGCTTGCATGAGAGCAGGTCAGAAATAATTTTACTTTCTTTAGCCTGTTTCGAAAATGCAATCGATAATCAGTGTTGTGTGCAGATGTGTATTACCAGCGTTGTCCCAAAATTCAGGCAGCTAGGTCCGAGAATATTTCGTGTTAACATTTATTCCGCTCCGAATTTATAACTTGAGTTGGGTCCATCTAGAATTAGAATGAATTCAGACCACTGATTCCGACACAGTTAGTATAACCAAAACTAACTCTACTAATTTTACTATGACTATGTTTAAAGACTAGTTCCACTTAGGAAAATTATCCGTTGATTGGAACGGACAAGAAAATTTTTCTTTGTGTTAAAGTCATTAGTTCCAACCCAGAGCTCACAAGACAAAGAAAAATTTTCTTGTCCGTTCCAATCCACGGATAATTTTTCTGAGTGGAAACTAGCCTTAAGTGTAGGAGAGTCTAATATTAATAATTGCCAAATTGTCTTTACCGGAATATGGAACCATAGAAAAGCCTTGGTAAATAAACGTGTATTAGTGTAATTTCAGTTGTAGACTAGCTCTGTGGTTGTTAGTCTAATTTGCGGAAGTATTAAACGCGAAAATTACACGGTCGTTCCTAAAGGGGGTTGGACGACAGGAAATTTTCAAGATGGCGATCTTTTTCAAGATGGCGATCTTTTTCAAGATTGTTAAAACGCGAGAGAATCAACAGCTAGACACTTATAAAAATCTTAAACTTTGCCCTAAACCTAACCCAAAATCTAACCCTAAATTAAAGCAAACTCTGAGTTTAAATTTTGAACTATCTTTAAAACCTCGCTCTCGTCAATCCCTTTCAGCCATTACGTACCCACACACACATTTCCTTTACGAATTGTGACTTTCATATGAGGCACAAAGTCCTGTTGAGTAGGCAGACGCCATCTCCTAAAGAGAGTATGGTACCAGTGGCGGCCGAACAGGGGGGTTAGGGGGCTATAGCGCCCTGGAATAAATGTCGGGCTAAGTTCACCACCACCCAAAAAAACAATGAGAGTAAGACGGTAATATAAAGATTTTTGATCGCATCAAAGGTAAACTGGACAAAATAACCGACATGGTGTTCAATGAAATATCCTTAAGTGATTTGAAATTGAACGGGCTTCAGCACCCATCACAGTTTTCCGAAAGGGGGACTAAGGGAGCGGTCATTATTTGTGGTGGGGGTTGCACCGAGATATGGTTGACTTAGTAAAAATTTTGCTGATCCAACCATTAAAAAATCAAAAAACATTTTTACCCAACCTCAAATATCAATTAAAAAATAAATACACACCCTTTGCCAAAATTGTTATAATTCTTACAAAAGGATACCTCTGTGAATTGAGTTTGATAATTGCTTGTGCTAATTTACTGCAGTCTAAAGTTTCATGCTGTCTGCACATGTACTTTCTTTGGAGATACCATTTGCCTGACAAATCGGAAAATGATCAAGATAGTGACTCTGACTGATTTACATATTGTATTGATATATGACTGTTGACATTGCCCCCCCCCCCCCCTTCCGCTCGCCCCCAAAACCTGTTCTGCCATCACTGTCTCTGGTACTGGACTGCATGGAAGTAACTGACTCTTGTTAGCACTGTATGCAACTGGGGTGATAACTTAACGATTACCCAAATGGACAGGCGACTTGCAGTAAGATTTTGTTTTTGGCCACCATGATGCCGGATGAAAAATTCAAATCAAGAATCTGTTTTTTGCGGATTCACTTCACGCGAAGAAATTCGCCCATTGAGAAACTCGTTTTTTTCCTTTACTCAATTTTACCAACGTAATGAGCCTGATTTACACTGAAAAAGTAACCCGGGTTCGAGCCGAGCTTGTTTGAACCCTATACCAGAGTATGTTTACACTCCAAACAACTAACTCAAGGTTAAAGTTTTTCTTATTTGGTTCCTCCTTGCTCAACTTACAGCAGTTTTACGAGATTCGTGACCCCCCAACACGAAAGTTCGCTGAAGTAATGTTTGGTTTTGACATAAGGGCGTGGCTACCAACCAGTATTTTATATTACATCAGCTGTAATGATGCCGCATGTCAAAAACAAACATTAGTTCAGTGAACTTTTGTGTTGGGGGTCGCGAATCTCGTGAAACTGCTGTAACAACGCCCTATTTATCGAATTTATTGTGCTGTGTTGTTCAGTAGGTTGGAAGGTCATAGGTGATACGCTAAAAATTGGTGGCACAGCACTGAATGTGGAACAATACAAACCTCCAATTGTAAGTGTGCTAGAGAAAAACACGGCAAAGTATTTTTAGCAGGTATCATTTCGGAGAAAGTAATATCCGAAACGGGTGTAGATTGAAAATTTCAGCCTAAAAGGTCTGCAATGTCTGAATATGCGTTGTAAATTGCTTTTGTTATAAAAGCCAGAAAAAGTGGTGTTGGTAGTATACACCTATCCGACTGGTGTTCGCTCTTGTCACATATGAGAAGATTGCACCCAGCTTGACTCTGTCAAGGGTCTTTCCTGGGCATTTCGGCTTGCTCGGATCAATAAGCGATGGCCTTTACTGAGAAGAACCATTTAAAATTGATAGAGCTATCCAGTATAAATAAAATTAAGGTTTCCTCCTGTAGTTACACTGGGTCAATACGAGCTGGTCCTTCCTTGAAACGGATAGACCTATCAAGTAAAATAAGAGTTTTTAGGTTTTAAATTGTCAGTAAACATGTTGCATATTATAGTAGTAAAGGATTCTTACTTTTTAAAGTTAAAAAATTATGTGCTCCTTTATTAATTCGGGGAGTACTTTTTTATTTAATATTTCATCGATTTTGAAACGATTTTGAACTTTGATCATTCTTTTGAAAAGTATTATTTACTGCCCTACTAATAAATTTTGCGTCAGATTTATTGCTCAATTGGTCAGTCAGAACGTGTGAAGCTCTTTTGCTATGATGCAAGATTTATGCTAATGTTAATTATGGTAATTATGTAGGCGTCGATTGAAGATTTCAGTTCTGAAAGTGTCACAAAAATCTGGGTACCTGATGAGCAAATATTCCCGCACAATGATGATACAGGTGCGTACAGTATGGACAGAAAACTCGACCGAGATAAAACTAGGAAGAAATCGCATGGCAGGGGTACCCGGCAAATCCTGATCAATCAACGTCGTCTTGGCTTAAATTCTGACCAGACGCCAATGCCAGAAGATACGTTTGGCGAAACAAAAGTGAAGCTGAACAAAGATTTGGCCAAAAAGATAGGAAAAGAAGCTAAACTCCAAGAAATTCTTAACGAAGAGAACGTTAAGCTTCATGATGATAAATTAAAAGGCACATGGAATGGCATCTTCGCTGTTGGAAAGAAGCTACGTATGCTTCTTTCGCATGATGCATATCCCTGTTTTTGATCTAACTGAAAATAATTGTGACCATGGAGGCAATGTTTTATGTCAGTCTAGCATTGACCAATCATCGGATGTCCAAGATGGGCTCATTATCAGTATTATGATACAACGAAGAATGTGTTGTTCAGCGCAGTTCTCAACTGTTTGACAAATGCAAGTCATTATGGTGCTAAAAGTATCTCCATCCCTGCTATAAGTTCTGTCATATTTGGTGTTCCTGTCTCGATCTGTGCCGAAATTCTATTTATGGCTGCGACAGCTTTTGCTAAGAACGCACCTAAATCCAATTCTTTGAAAGCAATTCGCTTTGTCAACATCGATAAACCAACTTCACAAGTGTTCGCACAAGAAATGAAGAAACGTTTTGATGCTTCAATTCATCGGGAAAATGTTAAATTATTTCATTGCATTAACGTCGGTGGAAACGAAAAGGGAAACCAGAATGAGCAAAACCAATTTGATGATTGGAAGGAAAATCCTGTAGCTACTACCCAACCCACTAAACCGGTGGACCCAAAACCGGCTAAGGACACTTTTGCAGGGAGTCGTAATTCGTAGTTGTGGACTATCTATGATGAAATTATAGATAATATATGTATTCTCGAGATCAAAATAACAGCTTTGCGTAAAAATCTAACGATATTAATAAATAAGTTCTTTGTATGTTTGCATGGTGATAAAACATATAATAGTTTTATTTGTGGAAACACCACGTAAATTTATTACTGCAAAGCTTTCGATCCGTAAGCCCAGATCTTCATCAGTGCTAATAATAATTTTGATATTAATAAAGTAATCCCAAAATGAGAGCATTTGCGAAAGGTTTGCACAACACATAGTAGCTAATAACAATATATATAATAACAAATTTATTAAACATATGCGTTGTAACGGTATGTATGGTAACTATTGGCATGACTCAACTATCTTGGAATTTGCTTAATGACGAAAACAAGTTATTGAGATGCTAAATTTATAAAAGTTTAGGGTTAAATGGTTGAATGGAAATAAATAATTTGAAATATATTTTCATTTTCCGTTTTTATTTCAGCAGTTAAGCGTCAGAGCAGATATCAATTCCAAGGAGTAAAATACTTGTGAAGGCTTCATGCGCTTCTCGCACATTCCAAGATCATAGAAATAAACCTATGTAGCAGAAAAATTGTAATCATTAACTTTAACGGAATTCTTTAATCTAAAAATCTATGATTTGATGAAATTTTTTAATCTAAGAATCTTCGTACGGTTTTTAAAATAAATCAGATGACATTTATGACGATTTAAAACGCTTTCAGTACAATACTCAAAATACGATACGTTGCAATGACAAAATATGCGAGGCCGGTCCAAATTCGCGAGGGGAGTCCAAATCCGCTAGCGAATAAAGACCCCCATAGGCCCAAATTCGCTAGCGGATTTGGACCGGGGGTCCATTTTCAGGGGGGGGGGGTCCAAATCTGCTGGGACACCTGCGTTATACAGTCGCCTTGCCTTACAGTCGCCTTGTTTTCGCCTGGCGAGCGAACGAGTTTTAACATGTGCTGTAAGTATCTAGCGTGAACGTTTTTAAGTCCACTTTGTGCTCTTGGGCAATATAAAAGTAAAAATTCTACATTCTTGGCGTGTCCCTGTGAATTAAATGGGTCGCTCGTTCCAGGGAAGCGAAGAAACAGAATGGAAACGACCTTGATTTGCGGAAATAGAACTGGAAATGAAAATAACGTACTTTGTACTATAAATGTTTCTTTTTTTCAATATGCTCTAAATCATATACAAGCCGGCAAAATCGTGTTTTCAAAAAACTGTAAACAACCTTATTAGGGCATATTATGAATATTAGCCTACTATGAACATTAATTTTAACGTATGCAAACGTATTTAAAAAGCTATGTGCAAACGTATTTAATACTACATCTATAGAGATCATTCATATAAAGTTATAGAAACTTAATCTCCTCCGAAGGCATCCCCCTCATTTTTGTAACACTACCCCTATAACACCACAACCAACTCAGGCAATGCGAACGAACGAACAAAGTCTGCAAACTACTAAAGAAAGCGTTTCAACAGAAACTGACGTTCACATTCGGACTGTCGCTATTATCTGGTGCTGATGTCATTACTTGGAATGATATTCCCCACAAAACTAGACGAACTGGAGGGCCGACGAGGTATGACAACTTTACAAGTACATTTAAAAGTTTAAATGAGTACTTGCAATTCTATTAGTTTGAATGTTTTCTTTTTGTAAAATACAGGCGAATTATAACAAGTTATTTATTCAACTAACTTCACATTAGTTATGGGTACAGTTTGCATTTGTACCATCCTGTATAGAATCCAATTTATATTTACAACGCAATTCGGAAAGCTTTCAGAAATGTAGTGGATTATCCTTAAAAGGAAACTAGATCGTACTGTGCGCAACGTAATTCTAGTATTCGAGGCTCTGGAGTATCTATAGCTGGCAGCAAACGGAATTACAGAATAAACAAAGTGGAAGCGAATTCGTAAAATGCTACTCTTATTAAACGTATTAGCATATTTCTCTGTATATGGTAGTCCACTGCATGTGCTAACTAATGTCGAATGCGTCTTAATATATAACCTTGTAGTACACTAATAATGGCATTACCTTTTAATGAATCTCCACCATAATGAATTCAAATTAGTATTCAGGAAACACACGTTAAATCTTACAATAAATTGTTGTGTAAACTACAAAATAAAGCTAAAACAAAGTATTTTTGAGAGGAACGCCAAAACGAGTTGGTTTTGAACACTTGGTGTCATCTCAAATACGCCACATTCACAAAAATTGCCTCTTAAAGTGATTTATCAGTTTTGCATTGCGCACTTAATTTTATCGCGTATATCTAATAACACATTCTAGTTAATATATGTAGTCGAACTGCAATGTAAAGTCACTGTGTAAAGTGATGAAGGAAGAGTAAGGGCAAAGAGAAAAACACTTTGCATTGATTAGGCATGCTTCAGGAAATATACGTTTAAAAATGACAGAACTCTGGTTAGGGCTCTTGTGCAACTAACACTAGACCACATTATGTTGCATGTTTAATCCTTGTATCTCTTTAAGAAGGCACGTGCATGACCCTACTTTTTAAATCTATATTTTGGTTCTTCTATACGTTTTATATATCATATCAGAAAATAAGAGAAATATCATTTCTACAACGTATAATATTTCAGTTACAATTTTCGCGCACGCTTTCCAAAATAACATGTCTGAGAAGATGGGAAAAGACATCTTTGCCCCACAACAATGCACGTCAATGGCTTTTGATTCGCTAAAATATACCATGTTTTGTTGTAGGCCTATATAATCACTAGACAGACATTTTTAGTAGGATGGCAGTCATGCTTGTTAAAAAAAATCAATAACGCTTCAGCAATTGCAATTGTTCTTGTAACTCGTAAAAGGGTCAAGATGGCGCCATATGGGGAAAAGTTGCCATATTGCACTTGTCATATCTTCGAAACGAGTTTGGTGAACATTTTTTCTGTTTTTACTATGAGTATATTACAAATTTTACCCCTAAGAAGTTTCAGCAAATTCTCATTTCCAGAACAATTACTGATGAATTACCTTAAGTAGTGGTTTGGGATAGAGTTAGATAACATTGCCCAACCATAAGATATCTTTCATTAACTCAGTAGTAACTTTGGCAACTTTAATTTTACATCCGTAATTGATAATCTTGTGCCATGGCACATTATGTGTGTCTTTAACTAATTCAACGAGATTCAGTGCACGTTTCCAGGAGCTTCGGTATTCAGAACGAAAAATACCATAATGATTTTCTTCATTTTGATCAAGTTATGTAAGGGAGGCAGGAAGCTATGTTTAATCCAAGACTTCTGGATGAATATATTTTTATGAAATACGACCTGTTAAAATTGTGTACTAAACATTAGTCCCGGAGGAACGACATCGTTATAGGGATTGTAATTTGATACCAGCAGAAGGGTTTACTAAGAATTAGTTTTCTTAGAAGCAATACCGAAAGTTCAGTCAGGTGATTGCAAAACAACAGACTTCTATATTCCGGGTTTCGTTCGCGTCATTGTCGAAGCTCAGACTAACTAGCTCGCGTTTTGTTTTAAATGGCAACGGCCATACTCGATCGTGGAACAGGTGTTCCTTGTTCACATAATTGTAGTCAAAGCTACTCGGTCGCTCGTTGCGTCACCTGTGAAAAATTCCTATGCCGAGAATGTCTGACAGCCCACAACAATTATCCAGCCAACAACGGTCATTCTGTTTTAACGATGGAAGAGTTATTGAAGTCAGAGATTCGCAACAAAATCAACGACAAAATGTATTGCAATGAACACTCGGGCAAGAAATTAAAAGTTTACTGCGAAACTTGTGATCAGCTGATTTGCAGGGACTGCATGGATTTTAAACACATCAAGCAAGGTCATTCATGTGTTCTCGTCAAGGATGTAGCGAGCGACTATAAGGAACTTCTTGCTTCAAATGGCAAAGCAATGGAAGACGCTTTAATTGAAGGCAATATATTTCTTCAAAGATTAACGCTGACGGCACAACAACTTGATCGCGATGCAGAAAATGTCAAAAATAAAATTGCACAAAGAAAGGAATTCGTGGCGATGAAAGTCATTGAAATGTTGAATAAAAAAACTGAAAATCTTTGTAAAAAAGTTGACGAAATTCACAAAGGCGAACGAGTCAATTTGGACATACAGGCAGAAGAAACAAAGTTATACGTAGAGAACATAAAAACGTCTGTTCAACTTTCGAAAACGTTGGTCGACCAAGGCACAGAAGAAGAAATATTTTTCTCTCAGAAAATGATGCTGGATAACGCAAATAATCTCCTAACAAAACGCGAAGAGTATTTCAAAGCACCTATACACGTTGCAAAATTGAACTACACTTCCTCTAGTGGCGAAGAACCAATAAACGAAGAGATCTTGAAAGGACTGGCTAACAGTTTAGGAGAGGTCCATAAAGAGTATTTCGAAGCACCTATACCCGTTGCAAAATTAAACGACACTTCCTCTTGTGGCATAAAACCAATAAACGGAGAAATTTTGGGAGGATTGGTAAACAGTTTAGGAGAGGTCCATGAAACGAGTAACGATACAGGTAAGAAACCAATCCATAATGGCGGAGGGGGGGGGGGGCAAAGGAGAACCCTAGATAAATGTGGTCACTCATTTTGTATCGATCCTTTATTTGAGAAATACCCAGCTTATAATTCCCTGGTATATATGTATACCGTTTAAAAGTCAACTTCCAAAGATTAAGAATCGAGGTAAAAATGTAATCCAAATCCAAAGGCTCCAGCATTCTCTACCTGTAGAAGTCGTTTGTTTTAAACTCCTACAGGCTAGTTACAATGCAGTGACAGGAAACACAGCAGTAAGAAAAGGTGTTTCTCGGAGTTGGTTTTTATTCAGCCAAGTGGGTGAAAATGAATTAATTCGCCTTGAGAAACATCGACCATCTCTGGATCCCTAAACATACTGTCTCCCTAAACATACTGTCTCCATTATAGCCTCAGTAAACAGTGTTGTATAACGTTAGTTATTTTTCCTGTTTTGTTGAAATTGTATTTCTCAAATAGTGACACTCAATTTCTATTTGTGCATTAGGACGTCAAAGTGCCACATCCAGTCTAAATCTAAAGACCCCAGCATTCTCTATCTCTGGGAGTAGTTTTCCAACACACATCGGTTATGACAATGCAGCTACATGTAACATAACAAGAAGAGAAGGTATGCATTTGTTTTGTTTACGATTAGTCTTCACTTGCTTGCGATCATACCAAGTTGTATGGAGTGTCAATATATCTCAGCATTCAGTGAAGGCTGATTTGCATGCAGTACACAAATAACAACATGCATGCAGACTGTTTTAGAAATTCGAACATGACTTGGTCACGATCCATGGAATCCAGGTTTTACGTCCCCCCCCCAAAAAAAAAAATGTCTGCAATTTTATTACTGCATATAGATATATTCCTCTGAAAGTGAATAATGTGGCTTTGAATATTCGTAGATTTTGTCAAGTATTTTACGTGTGTTCTCGTTCAATTTAAGATTTAGTCCAAGTTTTAGTGCAATTTACGTCTGGCGTAGAGTCATGTTATGCGGCAAAACCATATATATTATATACACTAGATAGCGCATCTCGTTTAGTAAAATTGGAGCCAAGAATATTCCAGCAGTTACCCTCATTTGAATAGATGCTGGCCATGTTGGTAGTTCCCACTCGCTAATAAACACTTAAAAAACAACAATAACTTTCATCATTTGAATATTCCGGCGTGAGTTAACCTATCAGAGAATGGCAACTTTCGCTGTTGAGGTTCGCCATAGATTGTTGAAAACTCTGACAAGCATAAGTGCATTATATATTTATTTAGGTAAGATGCTGAAAATTTTTACTTTTTCAACGGCCCACAAATAGTAAACAGAAAACATCCGTACCCGTTTGTCTTTTACGTGTAGACCATGGTTTACCTCGGGGAAACGGGTAGAAATTACGGGTAAAAATGCTGACATCAGCAAAAATTGGTAAACAAAATGGCGATACTCGTACCCGTAGACCGGAACCGGGGTATCTTAACCTCTCTATTGAGAACTTGCCCCATATTTCATTCTGCCTAACTTTTCATCACCGACAATAAATGAAAGGGAACGACAGATATTAGGAAGTAAAATGCCTTACAGATTCTCTGTTAATAATCTTTTAAACATAATGTTGAACGTTCTGTGCCAGTGTAGGTAGTGGTAATAATAACGATACCTTGGATTGATAGGGATACAACTACCTGAAAACTACAAGGAGAACTTCGACGTTTTCAGCGAATACTTTTCTTGCATCATATTTATACAGTGCAGAAAAATTGACGTCACACTTCGCGTAATGAGCCACCAACTATCCCCATGTTTCGCGCAGGAATATGTTTCTCTTTAAACACACGTACGCAAAAACGCACAAGTTGTTAAAAGTCTGCAAACAAGTTGTTACAAATTTGCTCACAAGCTGTCGACAAGTTGTGTTCGCACTGCTTGTTCCTAGTTGTTGTAACAAGTTTGGAACAAGCTGTTTAACAACTTGTAACAAG